AAGAAGAAGAGTATGGTTCTAGTCTCAGTGCAGAGTTGAGACAAAGGCGTTGACCCCTGTGACCTTTTGATCTGGCTCTGCTGGGTTTCCCAGAAGGCACACCCCTGCTCTCTCTGTATATTGCTTTGCAAAACGAGTTGAGACAGATTACTGCTTCCACGGCCCAGATGGCTCTGGTTTGTATTAAAAGCAGCCCCCAAAACTGATGTGGGTGTGCATGAACAACAGGGGGAAATTCAATCAACAATTGACTTAACCTAGGAACAAACTGGAATTTTATCACTGGTATCAAGTCCCTTGAATGATACCAAGTGGATGGTGGGGCTTCTAGAAACCCCAGGAGGCTGCTGAAAGATCTTAACTTTATTACTAGGGCATCCACCACATCATCCAATTATGCAGTTTTATCAGCAGCATTAGAGGAACCCCAGCTGCAGAGAGTGATTGGAGCACCAGGTGTGAAGGAGTCCAAAAGCATTACTGGCTCCCAAACTGTTAGATGATTGTTTTTTCTGGCTAACAGAAAGCTGAGGAACAACTAGGGCAGTATTTATCAAGGAAGCGTGCACAAGGTATGAGATGTGGGGTTTGTGTGGGAAGGAGTAAGGAGGCAGCCCAGTTCTGAGGACCAAGAACATAAATTCGTGGTGATGCAGGGATTGAACTGGCTGAGTGGAAACCTACCTGACATCCAAGGCAAACACCTAAATGCAAACATGAGTTTATCTGGGTCAGAAACAGTGCTGATGAGAAAATGAGTTACGACTATAGCTATTCCCTGATGCTAGCACTCTCGATGAACGCACACTCTCACCAAAACTTATACCCCTTTTCACTGACAAGCTGAGATTCTGCTTGGACATAGTCAGGCTGTTTGCTCTCCTTGCACTGAGCAGAAACTCCAGAACACTGCTGCTCTCTTGCTTTACAATTCACTTCCACTTTAGAGTGTGAATGTGTTCATGTGGTTTATACTTGTATTTGTACCAACAGTACCCTTTAGCTCAGCACAGTTCAGAATGGCTTTTTGCACTGAGTGGAGATGAAAACCTACATGAAGGGTAAATCCTGCTAAATAGTAAAGGCAGCACTGATACTGTCCTGTGACTCCCTGCCAGGGCACTACTACGTGGGCCTTTGAGGGCCATAGGTGGAACTGAGCTCACCCAGACCACCTCCACATGGTTGCATCCAGTTGTGACAAGCCCATTGTTTTCCCTTTGTCTACATTTTGTAGCTTGAGGCAGCTTGAATACACTGAAACATTCTGGCCTACAAAGTGACTGTACTTTTTTCTTGTCTCTCACATTTGCACTCATTTCTGAGGTGTTTAATCCCAACCCTTCTCAATTTTGGCTAATGCATGTTTAGTTGTTGGCTTGGCTTTAGTTTTAAGAAAGGATATCACTGTAGGTTTGTGGTTTTTTCCTGGTATTCAGCAATTCTGAAATAGTCCTTCCTTCTTGTAGAAGGTCCAGTATTATTAAAGAAAATAATTCAGTGGAGTATCTCCTCTGACTAGTCTCATGAAAATCTCTTACCTTATCAAAAATATGTTAGTTTAGTCCAAGAGATTGTGATAGACTGCTGCACTAGATTTTTTTCCTTGGTATATTTATCTATATTAACCTTTTCTTTTAAAATATGTTCTGGAGATGATTAAGAAATGTTTAAAACCTTATTGCCAGTATAAACTGTAACTTGAATACGAACATGTATTTTATGGTGTGCATATATACCGGGAATACAGAGATAAGCTGAATCTTTTTAAGGATGTTAACAGCATGTAATGGATTTTATATGGTTTACATATTTTTCTACTCAGTGGTTTTTCAGTGGCTTTTTCTTTAAGACCAAGCCTGTAGTTCATTATGCTTATTATCCAAAGACAGTAGGCTGGCAAGAATCAAGGAGACCGGGTATCGACCTGTTTATGATGAAACATGAAATATGGAGATAGCAAACTGAGAAAGGTAACACAGAAAATATCAGGAGAAAACAAATTAAAATAAACAGTCTGAGTCTTTTTAAAATGTAGTTACTTGAAGATATGTGCATGAGCTAATGTGCAAATATTAATACAGTAAGCACTCAAGTGGGATGTCAATCATATGCCACTGTATCAAAAGAGCCCCCCAAAACTTCCCAACTAAGCTTATTTCTCATTTTCCATACAGCTGAAATAGGTGAAATTGATGTGTTTATCTGTAATTGAATCAATTCCCATGAGGCTATTGATAAATATTTAGAATCCGAATAAGAAATCTTGGTGTTAATGATCTGCCCACTGAACAGGACAGAGATAAAGCAGCAGCATGATGTAATAATGTCTTGCACATCATTCAGTACAAAAATGGAAACCCCTCAATGCTCAATTTAAGAAAAAAAAACACTCTGCAATGAATACTGCAATTGACAGGGACAGTAAATATGTTGTTGAAGCAAACAGTCACTACTGTATATGATGTTTAGAGTCGTTTTCTTTAACTCTTCAGCTTAACCTGATGATGCATATAAAAATGGAGGGAGTTGATAGGTTCTTTAAATTTTCTTTAAAAAATCACTGCAGTGCTTTCAAATAATGAACTCCCTTAGTATAAAACTATCAGGAGTGCAATTTCACATTCAAGAAAACCCAGAATCTTTGCTTTAATGAGAAAAAAATTTGTTCTATCACAAAACATGAGATCTCAAATGATCAATTTGAATTATGTTTTATCAGAGTAGTTTCTTCCTGTCAGTTACACTTCCATAATAATGCACAGAACGTCTGTAATCACAGATTTTTAGAAACACATTCCAGCACTGTAACATTTTAAATAGCCACATTCCAGTGCATGCTCAAGGATGCATTTTAACTTTTCACAGAATACATTACATACTCTGGGCTGCTGCCTCTTAAATTGCTTATAGAGATTTCCTCAATTATAACAAATTGTTTGAACCAAAGCGTTATTCAGGTCTTGACTTTAAAATGTCTATGGGATACTAAATTGGTCCGTGTTTATTGTAGAACAGTGCTTTTAAAGAGATGTGGTTAGCTCAATAATGGCCCCTACCACTTCTAGGCAACTCCAATGATAGGTTAAAAATGGTGACTCATGGATCAGGCATTTTAGAAATACTGGATTATTTGGGAAGTAATTACTTCTTGCACAATTTCTAATTTTAGAAAAGGTATCTCAACACTGCTTTGTCAGAAGTGGGTCTTGTAGCATATGGGATATTTCATTCCTTTAAAATAAAAACCAGAATATCAATAAAATTTAAAAGAAAAAGCCAGAGTTTTACAATGTTTTTAAAAAGAACCTTACATGCCTCACTCAGTGCTCAATCACTTCAGCTAGAATGTGAAAATCTGAGGTACTAATTAGAAAATTACTCAGAAGTAAAACATGTGAGTTATTACCTAACCTGAACATACCAAAGTTCAGTAGTAAAACTAGTGCATTTTTAGCATTCAATTTTATAATTATATGTGAAACATAAGCAATCTGATAAAAATTATGCTTATTCTGATAATATCCAATTAGAAATTTATACATTAGCTAATACCACCTTCACTAAATTATGCAACATAGTCTATTCCAAATTCTAGAAGGGACTACAAGAGCTAACTTCACTCTCTTAAATAAGTTGATAATCTCTAATACAAGGGTATGCGTGACTATAGAGAACTCAGACCAAATATATGGAAGCTACATTCAGTTATGATTCATACCACAGCTATTATGATGAGATACTTTGTTTACACAGAGGAGAAAAAAGGAAAAAAAAAAAAAAAAAGTCTGGCCCCGCCTGGTAGGTGTTCTTAGTGCCACACAGTCACCTACACCTGAAGGAATGAAGAGAGAGGACAGAGATCATGACCAAGTGGTGAATCTCAAAAAACTGAAAGACAAAAGCAGGGCCAGAAATTATGGCAGCCTTTCAGCGAAAGTCCTGTGGGCTGGAAAGCTGCCAAAAGGTGGTTCTTACCCATCACTGCTTTGGTGAACTCTGAAAACAGCTTTGCATTACTCTTAACTGAAGGGCTGGTCAGAAGAGCTGCCCTCAACTACGTTGACGGGTGGTAACAGTACCAAAAGGAATTTGAACTCTGTAGTTTTGAAAAATTCTGATTTCTCTACAGCTGCTGTCCCTATCCTTCACACTGGCACCAGGACCAGTATGTTTCACTATTACCAATGTTTCTTACCTTCCTGAGCACCTAGAACTGCATTACTTATCAGTGAGTCTTGATGAAGCTACTGACTAGCATCTTTTTCTAAGAACTCCACATATATTTAATAGACTCATGCCAAAAGAGCCAGTTTGTTCCTAAAAAGCAAAGCGGTAAAAGGTTTGGAAACTACTGGTCTCCCTTTTGGCAGATGTCTGTTTGGAGAGCTTTTGCATTCATGCAACTGTCTCTCCCAAATTGTGTATTCGGTATGGTACTAGAGCTTCCAGGTGTGTCCATATCTCATACAGCAACTGCATCTGCATCCAGACAACTTAGCCTTGCCTACCACAGGTTAAACCCTTCTTTGTTCAACAGAAGCCAGCAAACTCTGGGGGCTCATAACTCACTGACAGACACTAAGCATTATGCCTCACCTTGGCTAAGACAAAAACTTTCAACCTTCCCCGTCTCCAGGGCTACCTCGGCTGGTGGCAGGTTAGCTATGAAAGAGGTATATCTCATGTTACCTGTTTCTGGTGTACTGAAAGCTGCCTCCATTCAGGTCAAGTTCTCCCCACTCCCAAGAGCTGCCAACACCACCACTGGAGTGTGCATGCAATTGGTTTGTAGCAGGACTGGTAAAAGAAAAGAGCTGCTCTTCTGACTAGAAACTATAGTTTTGTATCACTAATTAAACAAAAACACTGGATAATGAACTTGGAAAGCATTACTTGTTTTTATGTTTGAGAGTGCTCTGCTGTCTTGGGGAATCCTGTGGTAAATGTGTCCATATTCAATTTCAAAAGTACTGATGAACGCTGATTACTACAGCAGATAGATTGTCCAGTCCTCATTTTAATGGTCTCTTCTTGATTTCAATCACAGATGGACCCCTGTTAGAGGGAATCAGAACCCAGTACTCACATCTTTACTTCTTATCAATACATCAGAACGTCGGAGTGGAAATACATACAGAGTCTTCACTGCGCCAACTGTACATGTGCAGGCTCTCAAGACAGACTTAGCAAGTAACTTCAACTTACAAATACAACACACTTCTCTGAAGCCTTATAAAAATACCAGTGCAACATAGAGCCATTTTACAAAACAATTGTCTTTATAGAAAGGTATTTTAGTGGTATATGCTGAGGTAAATAATAAAAACAGACCCAAGAGAGGGCATGACCAGTGTTATGGAGAACTCCAGATGAAATTTGGCCAAAAGCCTGTTTTATAAAAGCTAGTATTTACCTACCAGTTATGATTCCTGGTAAGGTACTTATTGCTGTAATACTTCAAAATTATTCTTCAGTTTACAAATTGAAAAATATACGAAATTAGATCTGTATGAATGTTAGGTATTAGCTGTCACAAATTTTAAAAGGCATTGTACCAAGTTTTCTTAATTGTTTACTAACCAATTTGATTGTAGCAGGTAAATAAACTACAGCATACGTTTTACCTGACACCATGCATCAAAATCACCATAAAAACTAAGTTTATCAAAGTCCAACTCCACAAGGAAAACATGAAAAAGTGCAAATTATGTACCCAGTATTTCTGTCACAGCTGTTTTTTCTTAATATGGCATGAAAAAGGTTTACAGCATATATTAAGAAAATTCTTACAAGTGTTCACCTCAATGTTTATATACACAACATTTTGCTCAAAGTGCTCACTATATGAAAAAAACTGATTGGATAAAAATATTTAAACAGTGCTTTCTGAACGTTGAGGGAAAAGTCTTATAATACATCAGTCCCATTTGTTTTCCTCTTCACTCAGTGCAATGAGATGCAGAAGTCACATCAACTTCATGAAAAATTCGCTTGCCACATTGCCAGAAAACCGCAGTTACAGTGGCATTCTTGGTGTCCCATTGGGAGTGGGTCTCTTATTTTTTTGCATGCGGCTTTGATGTTTTCGAGATCTTACTACTTTCATTCTTACTTCAAATACTTCTTGTATGGCTTTTCGAAAACAATGGAAATTGTAGTCTATTAATCCTACAGAGACAGAAATGTTTTACATATTAATAAAGAGATTAATATAAAATAAGTAATGAAAAAATTGCTCATATTCTATATTTAGTGAAATACCATACTCTCTGGAGGTCATACTCAGTGAACTGTCCAGGCATTTTTTAATACGCTAAGCAAAAGCACATTTGATAAATACAAATAATTCAGTCAGCATTATAGCTTAATACTACGTCCAGTATTAAATATACTTACTAGTTACAAGAGAAAACAAAAAGAAATTCATTGGCAGATATTAAGCTTTAACTTAATCTAGGGCTTTGAAGAAGTGCTCAGTACACTAGAAGAAGAAACAAAATATTTCATAAAATATGATGCCATGCTGGAAATCTGCTTTACAGAATAACTGTGATAAAAATAAGTAGCATCTAGTAATCAAAGAATTTTCATTTTTTGACAATATATGAGCTTTGAAATGGATACTTGATAGAAATATTACCAAATCTCAGCCATCTATACTTCATCTTACTTTGTAATCGAAAAATAACGCAATAGACATGCTGTTAGATTACATACATACGTAACAGGCAGATAAGATAAGCATATGAGTGGGCTGAATGTGATCCCATAGAAAAGCTGTAAAGCCATATTGGTAGTCAATCGGAAGACTTAGTGAGTGGTACAATTCTGTAATACCACAATAAAATTTTAGAATTTTGGTTACTGAGCTCATGACCTCACTCGACGTTAATGCCATAAGCTTTCTTAAATACTGCAGCGCTTCTCACTTCAGTTTCCCTAACAGGAGATGACAGGTATGTAAGTGGTTAAAATCCACTATATTACACTTTATGATTTTTTTCCCAGGAATTATTTTCCCTCTCCCAGACAAAATATTATTGGGAAGTCAACCAGGCACAAAAAGTTATAATAGAACTGTACTGTTACAGAGTGCAAGCTATGAAGTGTCCCAACTATGTAGATACAACAACGTGATGCAGTTTTGGACAACCCCCAATGGGTGTTTATTGAGTGTGGTGTCTTTTCTCAAACAGAATTGTTAGTAGGTACGTGGCAGTAACACTTATGCTTAAAACAGAAAATGGAAGTGACCACATCCCACATTCATTTGTAATAAAAGGCCGTAAGGGTATGAAAGAGACATTTGACCACTTGAAGTTTTATAAAAAGCTCAATGGCCTATCAAGCAGCCCAGCAGACATGGTATGAGGGCTGAATTCACAAACACACCAACACTGACTGGTGAATTGATACCACAAGATGGGGAACACAAGCCCAGATCACAGCTTATTCTTCTGATGCGTTCTGATCTCAAGGCATTTCTCTAAGACCATTAACTCAGTGAACATCTTGCCAGTGAGCAGAGAGATCGTGAACTAAGCTTTCAGTATTCGCATTGACTAATGTCAGAAAGATAAACAAGGAATTTTTAAAACTTAAACTGCAAAATATGAAAGCTGCCTAGGTCCTAAACATGTGACTTTCCAAAAGGTTCCTTTCAGATACAAGAAAAGCAAGAATGGGTTTCTTTCAATAATGTTACCGTGTTTATGGCACACAAGCTGTTTTAAATGTGTATGCCGATGTCAACAGGTAAAAATCAATGTCAGCCAAGAGAAAGTGAGACATTCTGCTGTTGCAGATGGAAACTTTACTGCACTGGATGTAAATTTTCAAATGATTTCTTGTCAGAAAGTTGTCAAATACATTTATGATTTCATCTTATCTTAATGCCAGCACAAATTCTTCATGCTTTTAAACATGTTATGTAAACTTCATCAGGCTGTACTTACCTTTAATATTTATGATACAGGTAGAGAGTACTGTCAGCTAATAACAACCACAGTTATTCATTAACTTGCTAATAGAAGGGAAAAGCAATGCATTAGTAGAAAAAAGAAAAATACCTTTTCTCTCAAAGCTTTCTTCTCTGACAAAACAAACAAGAGCGAGGAATTTTGTCACCTCTTTTAAATAAAGGACAGTTGTATTGTTCAGTTTTATGATTGCCATTGACTCTTTGTCATAAGGAGTTCCAGTGCCATCATCTTTAAGCCTAAAGAGCAATATTCAAACAAACAAATAAGAAAAGATAAGCCACCAGATGAGCTAACAAAAAAACTCCTACATTGGTTCTTTCACCAAATACTCAAAATTTATGAAATTTTCATTTTAACCTTTCAGGGAGATTCTTCTTCAAACTACACACTTTGTAAACTAAGACAAAAAGAGATTAAGTCGTTTATCCAATTACACACCAAATCTTGGATCTGTGCCTAGAATCAGATGGTTTGATTGCCAAGTGCCTGAACTGGAGCCTTATTTTTTCCTCTGTTAGATACCAACCGTTTGCCATACCATTTGCCATAGTGCTGTTTTTTTTTTTTTTTTTAATCAATGCACTATATTATGGCTTATCTAAAACACGTGAAACAGTGAGTCTGTACCGATAATTCCAAAACCAGAAACCTTGCTTGAGCACGGGCAACTGACTGATACTTTAAGGCATCATGCTGGCTTTTGCAACATCGTATCATGAAAAGAGATTTCCCCACAGATGATATGTCATAATGATCAGTGAATTAGTTTTTGTGCCTTGTAATTTTATCCTCATTCCTGAATGCACACACAGATATTTTTAAATGGATAGTTATTATCAACCTCACAGAACAATTAGTCTCAATAATATGTTAAAGTGGCAAGTTCCACAAATGTTTCAGGAACAGAGGACAAGAAATTAATTGTAATATCATGTCATTAGTCTGTAGCTAAAAAATTGGCGAGCAGATTTCTGGTGATAAATGGTAAATGGCTACACAAAGACAGTGGTGGCATGACATTTTGTGAATAAAGAAGCCCACGAGTGGTGTTGTACAGATACTTATTAAATGCATAGTCTTCTGAACTACACAGCAGCATCTTTCCCCGTACAAAAATCAGCATCCTTTATTTTATACCTCTGTAAAACACAAGTTCCTATACAGTTACTGAAGTGACTACTACAAAATCTGAAACACACAGTAGAATGTACAAACTTGAGAAATTTTAGAAAGGTATTCAACAATTCGTTGTTCTTTTGAAGTTCTAATGTTTATTGCACATCTGCACCAGGACTCTCCCTTGTACCTTCTCCAAGAGTGCATGAAGTCTATCAGTGGATACAAATGCAAAGCTACCAAAGCCTACCACACTCCAGGTATGCTGTGCTTGGGCTTCCAAGTGTATGCAACTTAATGCACTAATTCCTAATGTGCCTCTCCTTTTCCCTGGAATGGCTGGCATTGCATCTAGGCAAGAGCCAAACCACTGAAAACATAACTTGCAAGAAAAGTACATGACACCCCAGGAGATCTCCAGTTGCTAATGTATTAAAAGGAGAAATTGAAAAAAACAAAACCAACAGGAAAGTCATGTAGGGAAAAGAGGACAAATAGAGAACTGAAGCAAGAGTGAAGCAACTCTCTGAGGCCACTGTAGACCATTAGCTATTAAACGAAACTAAATATGGCCCCATTTCTTTTAAAACAGAATGCATCCTTCTGTTGACTTTGTCCCTGCAGAACAAAAAGATAATGTTTCCTTTTATTTTAGGTTGGTTTCTTCCAACTCTTTCCTCCAAGTAAAATTATTAGCGTAGAAAGAAGAAGATATTCACCAAAAAGGCTGACAAGGAAGCTGTGTTTGTTGCTGGAGAGGGATCTCTACCTCAGAAGCCTACTGTTTGTTTTCTGCTTCTCCCTTGTCCTGACAAATAGCACATTGTTGTTTATGCCCACATCACTCTAATTTTGAGGCTATTCAGATTCCAGGTACATAGTTTTATGGAAAACATTCACAATGTACTTACCCATATATACAAGAAATGTCAATCACGACATCTATCATATCACAGCAGAGCTCGTAAGTTTGCATATCCACTGGAGTGCTGTCTGTTGCAATATAGATCTTACTAACTACATCGAATAAAAATGCTTTTTCAATCCCAGAATTCTATTTAAAAGAAGAAGAAAGAAAAATAAAGTGGGAGCCAAGTCTTCAAATTAACAAGCTTTTTTCTTCCCTTGCCTGTTATACAAAAAGCTAGGCTAAAGAAGTAGAAGTTAAACTGCAATCAAGCTCATTTTGAAAGAACTCTACATACAGCACTGTCATATTTGTAGTAAACCATAATGCTCACAGACCTTCCGATAGTTTCTGCCTCTGATCACGCAATGCTTAGTTACGCTCCCAAACTTTCCCCCTCAGGAACACACCTGGAGAGGTTACATTGATTTTCACTGGAAAATGCAGGGGTAGGGAAAAAAATCTTCCAATTTCGAGCTTTTGGATTTTTGATTGCAGCAATGGACATAAAAAGAGAGCTGCAATTTAAAGTTCTTCTAGCTGGACATGTAAGAAGGCAGAAACAAAGGAAAGAAAAAGCTGATGCATAAAGAAGGCAGTTACTGATAAGGAACAAATTTCTCAAGGAAATTAAAAAATTTTCTCATTGGGGTCTGTAGCTGTTCTCCTGTTTGTAGAACACCTTTAAGGATCACAGGACAAAGACCAGTATTTTGATGGTGCATTCACTTTTCATGTAGCACTGGTGGTTAAAGCCATATTTATAATGCTAAGGCTTGCTAAAGTGATGACAGCTATGTTCCTGACATCCTGCCAAGCTGATTAAGGCTCTCTCCATACTGGAGACGTATCATATTTACAGCTCTGAGAGGCTAACAGGAATGCTAGCTCATATTCTTTGTGCAGATAAGGTCAACTGCCATAAGCCTCTGCTTCCTGGAAAAAAAATGTGTACTGCTTAACTGAAAACAGTAGCCTTGCTTGCTGATATCAAGGGATTACACCTGGGCAGCTGTCCCAGTATGAAAAAAAAAAGGGCAATTTCCCAGTATTGGTAAAGCTCATACTATAAAATATGCTTCAGAATCCACCTATACAGGAAGACAAGCAAGTTTCTCCATCAAACCAAATTGTCTCCATATATGGGCTTCTCTTTTCAACATGGTTTGGGACTGCTGCCAGAGCAGTTTTGTAACTACCAAAAACCACACTGTAAATCCCTAACCAGTTTTAATAATTTTAAAGCTTCCTTTGTAGTTACAGAACTTTTCCTTTATCTTCTTTCTTTTCTAAGTCAACTGTTCAACACATAGTTAAGAGACTAAAGTGATGACTCTGCTTTCCGTATTTCCTGAAATAGGTAGAAAAATTTCCAACGCTATGTATACTATTGAACGATGGCCATCAGTATTTTGGGCATTTCCCTCTTAAAGAGGCATCACTCTTCCACTATCACACATAGAGCTAAGGCTGGAAACATCCATTAATAATAACAGAGTACAGAGGTGAATTTCCTGCATTTCCTCATGGAAAAGACTCTGTGAGTGGCACATTTCAGTAAGTCATTTATAAAAAACCAGTCAAAACATACACTGTGGATACTTTAAGTAGATGGGCTGAAGCACAGGACGTGTAAGGAGATACTCAAGAGAACTGCCTTCGTTCAACCTGAGGAAGTGGAGGTTCATTGCTATCTACAAATACCTAATCAAAGGGTGCAGGGAAGACACAGCAAAACTCTTGTCAAAGCTACAGGGTTGAAGGGCTAGGGGTAAAAAGCACAGGCTGGAATTCTGACTTGATACAAGAAAAAAAATAACCTAAGAGCGGCAAAGGACTGGGAGCTTGCTGACCCGAGAGTTTGAAGAGTTTCCACCCTTGAGGTACACAAAGCTGAACTGGACTCAGCCATGAGCAACTTGCTCTGACTGGCCTGGTTCTGAGCAGCAGCTGACCTCTAAAGGTCCCTTGCAGCCCATGTGGCTCTATGAGTCTACGTTCTTTGAGCACAAAGAACAAAAATGTGTGCATGTTTATGTTGATTATTCTGGGCACACATGGTAGTTCTGTAATTTTAATTTTTAAATAATAATTCTCTCAGCACCTCACATAGTTCAACTGTCAAAAAAGTTGAATCCCAACGTTCACTTAAAATATCAGTACGTAGCTGTAATTCACTGCCAAAATACATATTTGAAAATACAAATAATTTCAGACAGAAGAAGTTAGAACATGAGCCCTTTAGTGTCATTCATGAGAGTCAATTACAAAATTTTGTATTACATGAAGAGAGATATAGTGACAATTTCAGCTGTACAGGTAAGATGTAATTTAAATTATTAAGATGCCAGTGACAATAAAATTAACAATGAGAAGTGATTTTTTTCATCTCAGAACTCCAGCTGCTGCAGCCTGCCTGTACTTGCAGTGACAGTTCACAAAGTTTTCATTTTCAGATGTTTGCCACGGCAGCAGTTACAACTGCTAGTAAGGGCAGAAATTTGCCTCTTAACTTAAAACTATGCTTATCTTCAATTGCAACTACTCCACCTGCTGAAAACCTACACATATTTGCTTCTACAGAACTTTGTATGGTAACAGAAGTCTTTGTGAAAGGGTGGGATGGACTGCCAGGAGTTGTAATCACCAAACTGTACCCACGACTTCAAGCACCTCATTTACCAGTTTTTTTTAGTACAACCTTAACCAAAAAAAGCAAAGGGTTAACCAGAATTGTTGTGAGGAAATTACTCAAGGAAGAAAAGCCAAAATTGTAGAAACGATAATCACATGTTCTATAAAATCAAGAAAAAGGTGGAAAAAAAGTACTATTCAAAGACACATTACATCATTAATGCTCAGTCAGGAAAAATGACAATAAGAAATTAACTGTTTCTGTTACTAGAGTAAGTGGGTTCCTTGTTAGAGACAAAAAGACCAGCAGTGGCCTTAATGCAGTTGAATGAAAGGCTGCCATGGATGTCAATGAGAGGAATGTCAGAATGAGCACTAGTTCTCTCTGACATAACCCTACAGTCTGCAGAAAAGATGCAACATGCTGCATGCAATGTGCTAGAAACTCTATCAAGCACTCTGAATCAATGTAAGAGTATTCCATGATTAATCTGAAGCAAGACAGTCATTGTGAAAAATCTGCAATGAATATATATGAGATTTTATTTTGGATAGGTAAACCCCACAAGGTAGTTGAAATTCACACCATGTTTCTCAACTATACTGGTTGTGATGATGTAGAAGGCAGATTCTATTCTTTAAATGGAATGGGTTCAGTAAAACTGGCTGTATTTCTCCTATTCTTAGGTTAAGTAAACAGGCCTATCGTTTTCTTTCTTGAAAGTATGAAGTGTAAGCCAAGATTTGGTCCTAAAAAGCAATTCTCAAAAGAACTTAAGGGGATATCTCCAGTCACATACACTTAGGAATGAATTCTGGACAATTATTTAAACAGGCCTTACAGCAAACAGATTTCATGAATTAAGTACTACATCTGAATTTATTACAAAATTTAAATCATTACATGAACAGAACTGTATACAGTTTTTTTTGTTTTTACCATAATAATTAATTTTTTTTAAGACATGCTTTTTAATATCCCTCAAAACAAACCAAACAATGCTAAAACGAAAATCCACGTTCACGTGTCACACAGCTTGATTGCTTGGTGAGGCCATGGTAACTAAGAAACAGGCATCCTTCAGTATGAAGCTGGTAAGTGTGTTAGGTGAGATTTAGATGGATTTTGAGTGCCAGACCAACTGTTATTTTATGACTTACAAGCAGTTACATTAAAGAATGTAGAAGCACTATTATCACACTGATGGTTCCTCAAACGTACAAGCTCACACGCTGTGGTGTTATAAATTTAGGCAAAAGCCTGCAGTGAACTTAAGAGTGATCACAGATCTATTTCTGTAATCGTCGGCTTTTTGTGTTGGAAGTCCCCATGGCATAAAGGAAATCACATCCTCATGAAATCACATCCTCATCACATCCTTGTCAAGATCTGTTGTTACTAAGCTGCTAAGGTAAAAAGGCACCCACTAACTAATTCTAGGCTGGAGAAGGATGTTTAGTCTTCCTGTGGTTGCAAATAGTCATTCCAAGTCTCTCTGCCCACAGACAGAAGATGCTTGTAATAACGGACAGGAAGAGTGAGGACATAGTGATGCGGCTACACTCGGCTCCAGGTCACTCACAAACTGGAGCCAAGGAACAGTCTGAGATTCTTTCCCCTACTGAACAGGGGAAATAAGCACAACTCTCTCACTCTTTGGACTTCCCATTCATTCGAAATACTTGTTCTTCCTTACGAATTATATACCTGATATTGTAGATATGATTGGAGGTGGGTGTTGCAGACACATGTGCAACTGTCATCAGTCATTCAGGAAGCAGCTTGTGATCAATTCATGTAGTGATTTCACACAAACTCTTCACCAACTCCAAACAGTGAGGAGACCTCATACTGAGATCTGACTCACAGTAATGAGTGACTGGGATGATTCTGGCACAAAGAGGACCATCACTCAGACAGCCTTCTCATTAAGACTGTAGCATATTCAGTATCTAATTGCTCCAAAACTGTTTTCATCATTCTTTCATTACTTTTCTGTCCTAAGTGGAGTTTGAGACTGGAAGATAACTAGTATACAGTCCAGCTATTTTAGTAGAAATAGATCTTTGTAACAAATCATTCATTATGAAACAGCATAATTTGTTGCTTAGTAATAAGAGAATAAGTTTTGGAAAGATCTTCCTCTAATCCTAGCTCTGCCTTTCACAACCAACTTTTTTCTCTCTCCATTTTCACACTCTACACTGAGAAACTGTGAAGTCTAATTTTATCTTACAGGCTGTTGAATGACATTAAATAATTTCATTATGTCAAAATCACAAAAAGACATAATAAAATAACCTTGCTTGGAAATTGCAGCTTGAGACATTAATGCTAGATGCAAGGCGAAAAATTAGAATACTGTGAGAAAGGGTGCAGCTTTAGGAGCCACTATGATCTGATTTAATGGCCACTGAAACAGGGAGTTTCCCCTTTTCACAACCTACTCACTGTGTTCCCCGTTGCTCATTGCTACATGTTCCCATCTCTTACCTTGTGCCAAAACATGAGCATGTTGGACTCCTCCGTGATCTGCTTTTAACTAAATTAAACAGTGCATTAGTGTGTGTCATAGTGACTCCATGAGGGAACAGGTGAGTGTCAGAACCAGTACAACAGAAAGGAAGGATCAGACATACAGGAAGAGTGGATCAAGCCACTGCCTCTACAGTGCCAACAAGCCACATTTGTAAATATACAAAGCTCCCTAACTGGCCTTCAGAGTAACTACGGAAGCAGTGAAAGTTGTGGTGGACTCTAACTCTAAAAATTTCAAGACATGAGAAACTTTTCTTCTTCTACAAAGTAGAATTAATTCTAGGAAACACTATAGACAGCTCTACATATGAAGTCAGACTAGATTATGTTCCTCCAAGAATTTATCAATACAAATTTTAAGCAAAACTTAAAAGCATGCAGCACAGACCTTTGCAATATTCAGATTAATGTATGAGCAGAAAAGTGATGGTTGTGTACCCATTTTACATGATTCAGAAAATACTGTATCTCAGCAGCTCAGTAACACTGTTTAACAGACGGGGAGGTGAGGCCAAGCTGCATGTAGGTGCATGTCAACTAAGTTCTGATCATTTCTCTGGGAGTTCACATTGCTCATGATCTCTCAGAAGGCAGTGAAGAGTATCTGAACATGCATGTTGGACATAGCCAGATCTACAAAGTATATAATAAGTACTTACTGAAATAAAGATGTTAAGCAGGTTTTCCAGTGTTGGGAGCTGTGGAATCAGTTTCTGTACCACTTTGCTAAATGCTTCAAATATAGAATGATCATATATGCTTGTCAGATAAAAGCTGGAAAAAAATGTCACCACATTTTCCTTTTAGCCACATACTGTGAACATGATGTACCTTTCATAATATGAGTGAAATGAAATACTGTCAAACAGTTAATGCCTACACTTACGTAATTATTCCCAGTGACCAAAAGTCATGTTACAACTGAAGTACAGCACTTCCGTCTCTATACCAGAAAAAAACCTCAAACCCTAGACACTGAAAAACTAGACTTGGATGTAGAATTTCTTGATGCAACTCCCACCTTGGTATTCTTACAAAAAATACTTTTCAAATTGAAGGAGAGGAGTATTACTATGTCTGTTCTGATCTACTTTTTGAAAGTTGTGGACCCATTTATCAATCCAGTGATGCAGTCAAGTAGTGAAGAGCTGTAAAGAGCCAGCATTTTCATGGAGCAGGTCTCTCTTTTTAATATGTTTGTACTTGGCTTTAAAGTGCTAAGAAAGCCAAGACAACTTAATGTCCTCTAGTTCCCAGTCTGCAGAAATCCACTATTTTTCACTGTCTCCTAGAATAATCTCTTTATCAGCAAACATAAGGCAAAAATACAGGACCTGTCTTCCCAAATGGCTCCGATCAGGCTGCAGCAGTGACAACTAGTTACTGGGAGGGCAGAGAGGTTTCAAAGAGGGCAAAAGTGATGTAGTGGCCTATACATTTTTATGACTGGAACTCTACTGATTGTTGCCACTGTCCAAGCAACTTATTTCAAGACAGTAGCTGCAGCAAAAACTGGTACGACTCCAGCGTACTTGTCATCTGTTTTTAAGCACATCTCTCTATCTTTCCTTCCGAGACAGCAATTAGAAATAAGATACCGCATTTGACCTGAGCTGAAGTATCTCTGATTATCCCTTTCCTTCATATATTGAAGGCTTGCTACTTCAAGAGAACAGAAGACAGTAACTTGTCAAATAAGCTGTTCTCCTCTTTAGGATTCTCAGCACAGCAACTTTTCTCACCTGAGGTGAATCTTCTCCAATCCAGCATCTGCAAGGTCATCGTTTGCCCTCTGGTGAATATCTCTCTGTGTTTCAATCTTGTGATCATCAGACAAACCATCCACTTTATGGATAAAGATTTCAAAGTTGATATCTGGATTCACTTTATAGGCTCTGGTCACAGTAAGATGCAGCCGAGCTAATGCTTCCATATAATCATCCTGATGAAGGAAAAAAAAGAGCTACAGCTTAGCAAAGATCTTAAAACAGATATAATGAATTTTCTGATACTTACTTTGAGATAATACTACAGTTCAACAACAGCCTAATTCTTTTATTTATTATAAGTAGCCTGTGCCTACATCTAGCGTGTGCACAAATCTTATGCTGTCAGCACTTAGGAATCTAAGCAAGAACCTTGAGATGTTAAAGCAAATGAGTTAACTTCTGAACATACTGCAGAGAGAGATTAAAAACAGCCAAGCAGCTCTTCAAGTTTTAATGACTTCTTTTAATATGTGTTTGTGATGAAGATTATTTATTTGCTTTGAAAAAAATCTATGCTTTCCAACCCATTTGTCTATTGCTGAAGGAAGAAAAAAGTAGTTTAAAGCACCCCCTTTATTTTACCTGAGAATCAATAACAAATATTAGTGCTCCAGTGCCTCTGAAAATCATCTCATAATCAAACGTAGGGTCAAAGAAGTCAATTTGCCCAGGAAAATCCCATATCTGAAAGTTGACAAAGGAGCTGTTGGAAACATCCTCTCTGCAGATCTTGTTTGTGCTCTCCAAGAAGAGAGTCTCATTCGGCGACATTTTGTGAAAGACAACTTTCTGAATGGAAGACTTCCCGCTTCTTCTCAATCCCATGAGCAGGATTCTTGGCTTAACTTCAGTACTGAAGGGATCATTGAAATCCAAAACTGAATAAAATCACACAAGAAGAAAAGTAATATACTATGGCAATGGAATTAGTAACTGCCAGAAAACATGCATTTGACATTTACTTTCATTACATTTTCACTTGGATTTATGCAAATGTTACCAATTTTTAAGCTTAGAGAGCAGTGCTGCAGACATTTCAACTTGAATTATTTGCTCTTCAGGCTATACTATCAGAAAACCTACTTCTCACCTTTAATCCATTTGTATCTGAAAAATGTGTTATCACACACAGATATCCTGAAATATCTAATTTTACTCTAATTAGCACTATCCCATGTATATTCTTCTTTGAAATAGTATCATCTGAGAACAAATACCCTTGTCAACTGATAGTCACACAACACTGCTGGATTGTGTTAAGTACTTCTGTGTAATCTTCCTAAGGCTACCTGAGGGCTTCCTTCCTCTAAAATCAATCAACCAATAAATAAATAAATGAAATCACACATTCAAGGAGTTACAAGAAGACGACAACTCAGGAGGCAAACAACTCTTCTACGATGGAACTTACAACAGAGTACTGAGCTCAGGAGGAGTTCTTTTCTAAGGTGCTTATAATTTCACCTGCTGTTGAATACTTTGTGTTACAATCTGTAAAGGTTTATTATCCAATAAATAAGATGACAGCACATCATCTGCCTATTTGCAAAACAAAGGCCTGGGAACAGTGATTTCATTGTGTTACCTACAACAGTTTGAAACTGGTACTACTTTTTCTGTTGCTGATAAGCTATATTAGAATAAAGGTAGTTACGGGAATAAACTATGCTGTTATATCCGTAAGGACATGAATGTATAGCTATCCATACCTGCAGATACACCAACTTTAGCTTCAGGTATCTGTAATCAAAACAGCTACAGCAGTCTCAATTGCTGCATTTAGCTGGCCTATCATTTTGAAATGTCCTTTGGTGCTGAGGTGAAAACAGCACTGTTCTTAGATGTAAAAAGCTTTCAAATACCTTTGTGATACTCTGTCTGCACTGTCAAACACAAGCAGTGCAAAAAACTTAGTTGTCAATGATAAATCCACAGAGTACAGCTCAGACTACACAGTGGTCAGGTTTAAAATACTGATCACACAACAGGCTAAACACATCAGGAGTCAGACAGACCTTCTCTCCCCATCCACTGCGCTACAGACTATTCAACATACTTCAGCACAAAACTTATTTGCATTTCTTTCTCTTTTTCTGCTGGGATACATTTTGAATTGCAGAAAACTGGCACACATTTATTCACATGCATCATTTCTGCATGTGGCCTGCATACGTTAAGTGATCAGCTTTACTCCCAAAGTATAAAAACACAAAACAAGGAACCTCAGCAACAACAGTTGCAACCTGTCAATTTATTACATAGCCGTATGGGCAAAAAAAACCCATGGAAAGCTTGAAGGAATCCTTTGCCTAGGAGCATGTTTTGCACCCGGGGTGGAGACCACATCCATTTTCTCGTGTCCCTCAAGCCTCACTCACAACTTTCAGAAACACGAGCAGAATATGCCTGCCAGGAGGGCACAGAACCTTGCCCAGGTTTGTTTGTGCCTCTTGAGCTTGAGTTACAGAGAATTAAGACTTCTCAAACTGAAGGTGTTAGCATAAAACATCCCCTGGCACCATCTACTGGCTTGTGAGTGCTTGTGCCACCCTGAGTGGGCCGGTGTCACCAGTGACAGACAGGAAGGAGTTTTCAACATATTATGGGTGGGATCCTCTCCATTTCATTTCAAGACATTAGGAATGCCTTGGCAGGTATTACCACTTCCTGCAGTCTTATCAATTGTCACACATGAAACACTGCCAGGAGGGAGCAGTGCACGAGGTGAAACTCCTTCAAGCAGAACAGCAACAGTAACTCCGGTAACTCCATAAGGATCTCATCCTCCAAACACAGCAATGGCCAACTTCTGCTGATCCACAGAAAAGAAATTTAGGAAGTAATAAACTGCAGTCTACACACTGCTCTACTCTTCCTATCAACCTGAACAGTCATGGTCTCCTGTGGCTGCCAGAAACATGTGCCTGCAATACTTTGCACCTACAGAGAAATAATAAACATCTTCTCTAGGACAGTGTAACAAGATTTTATGTTTTGGGGGTACACTCTTGTCAAGAAAGCAAACCAAAGGTACAAGATTTAATGGTATCTCCTCCAACCCTACTCTGTCCTTTAATGCACAAATTTTCTACAGCTGTCAAATGCATAATCAAAATTTCATTAATACGTGTATATCCACACATCGTACAATCTGCATTTTGGCCATTAGAAGGGAAAATAATGTATTAAAAGCTTTACGTGGACTTAATAAAAACATATAGTGAACAGTCTTCTGGTTGAGGTTTTATTGCATGTTTCAAGAAAATTAAAAAACTTCCTGTTTGTTCTGTACACAACAGAACTTACAAAGTCTAATTTACTATGGATTTGTACTTTGTGTCCCCTTCCTCCTCCAACCACAATAACACCAACTTCCTCCTGTGTGTCTTATGACATATCCTCCAAATAACAGATACGACACGCTGTGGCTGATCTGGAGCTCAGCATATGCTGGTTGGCTAAACCACATACACATGTACACCGGTTTGCCAGCTGCTGCCATGGAGAACACACAAATCTGCTCGCCCATCCCTCTGAGGACACTTCGTTTAGGTTTCCCCTCTCTTCTGAATTCCAGTTTTCATCAAACTTGTGGGAACTTAATAATCTTTGAGACATCTTCCATTCAAATTTGGTGGGACAGTAGTTTCCAGGGTTCTGACCACTGATGAGACAACCAGAAGAAAGGCTAAACACATAACTCCCTTTTCTTTCAGAAACAGGCTAAAACCTCACATATATCTGAAGAAATATTTTACATAACTTGGAGTTTTACATTGCTGTATTAAATTATTCCAAGCTGTTATACTTTCATGGATTTTAATACTTACGAGAAAGAAACTGCTTTCTATTAAATCCACACTAAAAAAAAAAAAATAGAGTTGCAAGTGCAAACAGAGATACCTATGAGAAGAATGAAGACCAGCTCTCCTGCTAGTAAGACTGTTATATAGATTTTGAAATTCTGCCAGTTCAGAGACTGGGAAATGTAAAAGAGTATCATCCAAACCTGACTAGATAGCGAGGCTTCTATAGCACTTCCCTCTCACAGAGTTAAGAGATTACCTTATATGTAAAGGAATTGGACGATGTGTTGTCTGCCCACATTCCTCTGCAGGAGTACATGACAACTCCTTTTTTAATTTGCCATAGAAATGCCAGCAGATGTATCACTGCAACTTCCCAGACTAGGTTACTGAGTGAGATCATAATATGCCCAAGAGAAACACTGAACTGTTCTCTATTCTGTAACAGCGAAGATAATTTTCCCTATTGTGAGATACAACACATTTCCTGCTTCATTCACTTTTGCAAAGAGTAAGTGCTGCAAAATGCCAGTCTCTAGTGCATTATCAACAATCCTTCATATTTCAACCTTTTTAAGCAGCCATAAAAAACAGAAACCATGTTGGTTAGAGGCTGTATCCATTGAAGTATTCACAGATTAAACTCAACAAACCCCAAAGCACTTTCCTCACAGAGAAGCATTCAATTCCTTACAGAACTTTTGTTCATTGCAGTTGCGTCCTTGCTTATGGAGTGCATTGTGCAGGCACTGCAACACACAGAAGAGCACAGCTCTGAGGAGTTGAGAACTGCCCCTCTGTAGTCCCAACTTGTCTCACCAAGATGCATACTTTAACATCCCCTTTACGCTATTAGAGATATATACTGATAACTAAAATAGTTTTTGAAGCCCATCCTGAATTCCAGATCAATTGTAATTAATTGTCAAAGCAGGTGCTTTGCAGGCATATGTGATGGGATGCAACATTCAAAGGTATATTTGTGGATCTCACCAGCTTTCAAACATCCAAATAAAGATTCACAGCTTAGCTGTTCAAGTGACATCAAGCCAAAAGGAATTATTTAGCTCATGTTACATCCATAAGGTAACAAGCCTCTAAGTCTTGTTTTGAACTATTGCAAATAATGATTTTTTTTTTGCCGAGTAATGCACTTATATAATTTTTAAGTTTTAACCATTTTTGTGTAAAGAAGAGTTAGCAGTCCCAAACTTTCCACTCTCACCTTCAAGCCCATTGATCTTGTAGCATTTCCAGTACTACTGTGACTGCAATATTTGCAGCACTTTGGAGCGTTGTCAAGACAATAGCCGTACAAAACACACGCAATTCAACACTAACTTAGATGGCCTGAGCCTAAAGAGTTAACAGAAAAAGCTTATATGCAATGAAGAAGGCTGTTCAGCTACTGTAGGTTCATAAACATTGCAGAAATGCCTGGTGGAAGGAAATTCCTGTGGCTAAAGAAAAGACTCAGAACCAGAAGACCTAGTTCCATGCTGCCACAAGTGCTGCACTCTGCAACGGTATGTCTTAAAGCTACTTCCTTGGATGCTCTGCAGAGGGTTTCCCGCTTCTAAATACTTTTTAATTGCATCTATAAAAAAACCCAAAACACTAGGCTTTATGTAAATTTTAGTGCTTTAAGGTCTCTGAATATGACCCTGTGTGTAAAGTAAGAGAAGGACAAGAGCCATGGTTTCAGCATTCAGGCTGGAGACAAGTATCTTATTTTGGGGCGAGAGATGACCAATATGAAGTTTTGAAATCTTCCTCATGCTTTGAAGAAGAAATTATGTTCTTACTTTAAAGCCTGGCTTCTTGCTTCACTTTCAACAGCCATACATTGAAGCTGTTCTTCTAATACTGCCCTTTCCATTCTTTCTTTGTAGAAAAGTGGAGGCTGTAACACTCAATTTTGGACTACTTGCTGAACAGATACTCCAGAGAGAGGACAGAAATTGGGAAAAGGAAAAGCCCCTTGCCCTGCAGCCCAGTGTTACACTAAACACAGACCCAAATCCCAACCCCTTCCATTTCAGATGCTCTATGCCTCTTTCTCCAGAGAATTCCAAATTAAACAGAAAGCGAGGGGATCCGGACTATTAAAATGGACTTTGTTTTAATCTGGTGTAAAAATTGTCTCTACATGGACGGTCTTTTCCTGGTATTCAGGATGTAAAGATTTGTTTCTGTTATGTACAATATTCTGGTGTTACTATGAAGAATCCACTGACATTTCTGAAGTCTAACAAAGTTCCTACTGAAAAATATCCAAATTTGAGGAAAGAGTATGGATTACTTCTCTACAGAAAATACTATGTTAGTTCAGCACTACAGAAACACATTAAAATATATTCTCTCTGCATCAAAATGAAGGCAACTCTTCAGCAGGTTCAAATAAGACTTTATTTAGTCTCAGCTACAGTTCTTACATTCTAGCATTCCCACAGCTTTTAACCATGAAGGCTTATACTCAAAGCACTGACCTTCCTCCCCTCCCCAGAATTATATTAGTCAATGCAGCATCTCCCATGGCAGCCTGTAGGACTGGGCCTTTAACGAGAAGGGTTCTGCATGCTAACATCAAAGTAGATTTAAAACACGTGGCCTTTTATTATGCTCTTATAAAAAAAGCAATTCTTTTTTCATCCTGAGATACTGAGAGTTCTCCAAGCTCCTTTGTGAAACATGTCTCAGAAGAATGAAGTCAGGCTCTGAATGAACGCAACAGGCTGAGCTGGCATTTCCTTTTTCTACTGAATGAGACTACTTTTCCTGGTAAGCCTGTCCTTCATAACATCACCATCCATACTGACACAGATACTCAGAGAGTAACGTGTGTCCTCACATGCACAGACAGACGGACACGAGACATTTAGCAGAGCTTGCCACTGTGGGAGTGACACCCGCAGCTGCGGAGCAGCCCCAGCCACAGAGCCGCGAGTGGCAGCTGCCTTTTACAGCCCGACACCCAACCCCCCACCTCCTTGGCACACTCAGGCCACATCCCCAGGCTGTGGCTTCTTAATAACTAATAACTCTCCCCTCAGACATGGACAAACTGAAGGGAGATTACACACACACGCACACTTCGCCTGCACTCCTTTTGCCTCCTCCCTCTTTCCCAACGCTTCCTGCTACCTGTCAGCCCTTGCCCTGCTCCTACCTCAGAGCTCCTCCCTGCTCTCCCTGACCCCACGGCAGCACACCACGAGCACCTTGTCCCTGTTCCGGCCCTTCCCGTGGTCACCTCCGCGGCATCCCCGCTCCGCCCGGCCCCTCACCGTCCAGCCCCGCCCGCAGCCGGGCCTGCCCTCCCTCCGCACGCCTCGTCTGCCCCGCACCGCTATTCCTGGCTCCCCTCGCCGCGTCCCAAACCCCGCGGGGAGCCTCGCCTTCTCCCTGACCCACATCCGCGGGCAGCCAAACCTCACCTCCCGGCGGTGGCTCCGTCCCGCCTGCCACCGTCCCGGCCTCACCTCGGCGCCGGCCCCGCCTCACCCCGCACCCGCACTCACTGCCGGCCGCTGCCCCTCCGAGCCCGGTGCTGCCCCCCGGCTCCCCGGGAGCAGCCGCAGCCCCGCCGCGGCCGTTCCCCGCCGCCCCCGGTGCCGAGGCCGCTGCGGCCGCCGCGGGCGGCACTCACACGCCTCATCGCCGCCGCTCTCCGCGTCGCCGTCCGAGAAGGACTCGGCCCCGTCGGCGTAGCCCGCCAAGCCCACGATCTCCTCCTCCTCTTCCTCCTCGTCCCCCTCTTCCTCCTCCGGCAGCTTCCTCGGCACCTGGCTCATTCCGGCCGCGCTCCCGGCGGGGCTCCGCGGGCCCCTCTGCCTCCGGGCGGGCTCGGGGCGCGGGGGGCGCAGGTCCCGCGCTGGCGCCGCGCCCGCCGCCGCCGCCGCTCCCCACCTTCCCCCCGCACGGCGCTGGCGGAGCGCGGCGCGGCTGCCGGCGGGGCGGGCGGGGAGGCGGCGTGACCCGCGTCACCTGACGCGCCCGGTCACGGCCGCCGGGGCCTCCGCGCCCGCCGGGGCCTCCGCGTCCGCCCGGGCCCGCTGCCGCTCACCAGCCCGGCCACGCCGCTGGCACCGGGCCCTGGCGGGCAGAGCCGGGCGCTGCGGGGCTCTGGGGCCTGCCGGGCGGCGCCGCGGCCGCCCTGGCTGTGCTCCCGTGGGAGCGGTGCGCACGGGAGGCGCTGCCTCACGCGTGCGGGGCGCCGGGGTAGGTGAGCAAATGGCCTGGTGTGCCAGGCAGCAGCACCGTGGCGACAGCTGGTGTTTCTATTACAGGCAGCCTTCCTCAGAATCAGTTAGGTTGGAAAAGACCTCTGAGATCATCGAGTCCAACCTGTGACCTAACACCACCATGGCAACTAGACAATGGCACTAAGTGTCACATCCAGTCTTTCCTCAAATACCCCCAGGGACAGTGACTCCCCCAGCTCCCTGGGTAGCCCATTCCAATATCTAATAACCCTTTCTGTGAAGACATTCTTCCTAATGTTTAACCTAAACCTACCCTGGTGCATCTTGATGCCCATGTTGTCCCATCCTGTCACTGGTTGCCTGGGAGGAGAGGCTGACCCCCACCTGGCTATAACCTCCTTTCAGATAGTTGTAGAGAGTGATAAGTCACCCCTGAGCCTCTTCTTCTTGATCACACCATGTAGCCTCACCTTGCACAAAGCCCAAAAATGGGCTCAGGACTGTCCTGCATCACCCCTACATGCCATCAGCATGTGGGAGACAGTGGGACCCAGGCAGAACCTGTGCCTGGTGCTGCTCAGCTCACACATCTGCTCTGACTGCTCCAGGGCCAAATGGTGCTGGCAGCACTGCTTGTACCTGCCCCGCTGTCCTTCCATGCTGACTCAAAGTGTTAAGCCAGGCACTAATAGCGGGTGGTAACATACTTGCAGTATGGGTGAGAGATATTTTTTTAGAAATAATAATTAATAAGGAACACTAAAGAAAGCCATAGTAGTAAAACCTTGGAAGAGGATGGAATTTTGATGCCCCAGTCAGACCAAGGTGCACTCAGTTGCCTGCCATTGCTTTCTCCAGGCATGTTCCATGAAGACAGACCTTCTGCCCCTCAGCCAGGCCCCTCCTCAGGATTTTCCAGTGCTGCTCTTGTTGTCTTGTACCAATCTAAGTACCAGAACATGTGCGTTAGCCCCTGGCTGTCATCCTATGCTGCCTGTTACGGTGACAAGCAGCTGAGTTCCTGATTCTCCAGCAGCAATTTTTCCTCTTTTACTACTTCCTCCTGTCCTGTTCTCCCTCCTTGTATTCAGTGTAATGGTTGGATTTATGTTGGAAGTCTCCATGTGTTTACTGCAGCTGATTATTTTCCCACCTTTATGCTGCATTATAGTCTTCTCATCAGAAGGCCTTCCAGGTTGCACCAACCCACTGGAGATAAGGGAGGCACACTTTCTGTCCAGAGAGGGAGAGATCCCCCTCTTATATTCCACATCATGACAAACCTACCCATACACAATTGTATTGAAATGTTTGCCTTTATTCTCAATTTATCAACCCACTCCAAAGTTTTGCTTGAACAGATTAATAGTGTACTAAAAGATTATGGGAAACATTTCAAAGTTAAATCCTTTACAAGGAATTTGGACTTAGGTTTGCAGCAGGTTTTTTTTTTTTTACCAGTCATGTTTTCAGCATGTCTTGGGACAGCCCTGGGAGGAATTAATCTGCTGAAAACTCCTGATGAAAAGAGGAGTAGAGTTTCCAGGTCTGTAATGAAGGGCACCTATCTCACACACTATCAGAGCACATATGTGCAAAAAGGGCTGTTGGGTTTCAAGGTCAGCTATGGGAAGTGGATCTTGCCCAGAAATCTGACTGTCTGTATTAGGTTTCTTTTATACAAAGAGCTATGAAACATCACTAGCAAGACAGCGAATAATTTGTACGTATTGAAATACTAAATCAGGGTGTGGAAACTCAAAAATGAGGACTAGTTAAAATGCAGCTCTTCCCACAACCTTCCCACAACTGATGTCAGTGACCTGCCTGATGACAGCTTCAGGTTCAATGCCACATAGACTCCAGGCCTATTGCCAGATAGGTTTTTAGGGTAGCACTTCTACCAACTTCTACTTTTTAGGAAGCACTTCTACCAACACCTTGACAATATAATCTATCCTGGAATCTACATAAGCTTCTTCTGTCCCTTTGCCTCCAGGTGGTTTTCTATCCCCTCTGCACCTGGCCTTTTTCTTTCCTTCTTTTTCTTTTGTCAGGCCATTTGATTTTGAAGCTGGTTGCACATAATGAAACAGTGCCCAGCTTTCAGTCACAGGACTTGTAGTAAGGGCAGGTAGAGGAAGGGTTGAGTACTTGAATATATGATATGTACAGTATTAGATGTGACTGAACTTTGTCTGTGGGGAGCTGCAGTTCATAGACATGACATAATTTCTGGTTTATGCAACTGATGGAATCCCTCTTGAATTTCTCTTCCCAATAGGAAAAAAAAACATCCAGAAGAATACAAAGTTGTCTGTCTAGATTAAAAAAGGTTAATGTTAATTAAGCACAGGGAATAGCCCCACTGACATCCACACTATCTGCAGCCAGTTTTGCAGGATCATGATACCATCTCATCCTGTTCCTTTTAAAGAGGGAAAACTCCCATGAAGTAGATTACTGGCTGGCAGATCAGTGCCAAGAAAGCCTTTTTCTGCAATGTGTTAACATCTTGTTTCTCAATCATAATGATCAAACATAGCCAAAATAGTCCTGCAAACGTTTACATATATGGAACTTATTTAACATGAGCTTAATTGTTACTCACACAAATACTTCTATTCCTACATCAAAATTTTACACAATTTCAAGTAGAAGAGAATTCACATGAAATCGGTCTATCCTGAATATGGAAACGAGCAAATGAAATGGTAGTGTGAGGAATCACAGTGTTTTTTTATGTGTTTTAGTAACTACATTCTAATTTCAGTAATGACACCAGACTTCAGAATAGTGTTGTCGTTTTGACAAAGCTTTGCTGAGATCAGAGAGGCGTCAGAACAATAAATCCAGTCAGTCATTCTCCTGTAGAGCACCAAGGGTTTTTATGTGAACCTATGGTGTGACTCTTGCCACGGAGCAATGACTACCATATTGATTATTTAGTGAAAAAGGCATAAGTAGATTTATCTGCAAAAACCTTCAAAAGAATGTATTCATCGCTAACATGTGATACTTCAATGTCTAGTTCATTTAGGAGCCCCTGGTGGACTAGAGGGTAAAGGCGCTGCACTGTCACCGCAGAGACCCGGGTTCGATTACCGGTCAGGGCCCCTCCCCGGGCAGATGGAGCTCGTTAGCCCATAAGGCAATCCATCTACGTCCTGAGGACCTCGCTGCCACCGTCCAAGCTCGCTTGGCCCCGGCAGATGAACCTGAGGATTAAAGGGTGGGCTCAGTTCCGCGCACACTGTGTCTCACCTAAAAAATCCAATGCGCAGGCTGGAAGGTGTAAAGACCTTCCCCGGTTCTTCGTTCGCGAAGACTGGCCATTTTACATTATTACAGTTCATTTAGGGCATCAGTTCATTTAGGGCATTCTGAGAATGCCTTTGAGCCAGAGAAATGGCCTTTGAAAGTGATGTGCCTATGGGATCAAGGGTGCTATGAAGAGCCACTTGCTCTCTGTTTTCTCCTTCTTCTAATCCTGCTTTTATCATTTTTCTCAGCCTTCTCACACAAACTCCTTTCTCCTGTACTGCTGTCTATGGATGGTCCCGTCTAACTTGCCTCCCCTACCAGTTTGTGAATTACTGACATTCGCCTGTAATTGCCCAAACACATGACTTGGGTGAGCAGAAGGTCCCTTGGGACACTGTGATAGCTGGAGGGGTGGGTGAGGTGGTGAGTAGGCAGAACCAGCTTTCGAGGCATCCCTCTCTGACCTTCTGCCCAGACTTCAAAGCCTGCTGGCTGGCTCCCTGCTGGAGGGAAAGGCATCTGGCCTCCCCGAAATTGGGAAAATTTTCATGTGTCCAGGTCTGGGCACCTCAGTACAAGAGAGACACAGAGCTCCTGGAGCCGGTCCAGTAGGGGACAATGAGGGTGATTGGGGGAATGGAACATCTGTCTTATGAGGAAAGGCTGAGGGAGCTGGGCCTGTTCAGCCTCGAGAAGAGATGACTGAGAGGGGATCTCATTAGGGTGTATAAATATCTAAAGAGGGGGGGGGGATGCCAAGAAGCTGGAAGCAGGCTATTCTCAGTGGTCCCAACTGCTAGGACAAGAGGCAGAAATTCATGCACAGGAAGTTCCACCTGAATATGAGGAAGAACTTTTACTACGCAGGTGACCATGCACTGAACTGCCCAGACAGGTTATGGAGTCTCCCTCACTGGAGATATTTGAGAACCATCTGGACTCAATCTTGTGCAATGGATTGCACAGGACGACCCTGCAGGGAGGCTGGACCAGATGACCCACCGTGATCCCTTCCAACCTGACCGATTCTGTGATTCCGTGGTTTTTTCTGCTCCTACGCAAACTATTACGAGCTTCCGTAATTAAGTTGCAAAGGAGCTTCGGTTCAGGAGCGCGTCCGGCCCGTGCGGAGCCCGGCTGCGGCCAGAGCCCGTCGCTCCCGGCCGGGGCGCGGGGGCGGGTCCCGGCCCGGGCGGAGGGGGCGCTGCCGGCCCGCAGTGGCCGCTCGGTGTCGCCCTCGCAGCGGGCACGGCGGCGGCGGCGGCGGCGGCGCCACCTCCGGGGCAGCCCCAGCGCGGCGGCGGAGGCGCCGCTGGAAGCGGCAGCGCCGTGTCCGTGTCCGTGCCCGCCGCGCCCGGCGGGTCCCGTGTGCTGCGGGGCAGCGCAGGTGAGCGGGGCGCCGGCCCGCCCGCCCGCCGGGCTTGCGG